TCTTCCAAGAAAACATTTGAAAAGAAGGTGGTCAGCCATATGTTCACAAAAAGCCCTATTTACTCTTTTCTCACATTAAATTCTCGTTTTATTATTTTTGTTTTGAAATCTTTTTATTTAAAATGTAAAAACAGAGCTTTCCGGCAGTTTTGTCCATCTGAAAAAAAAAAAAGGAAGTAACACTTAGTCAAGAAACTAATAGAGTTATTTAAAAAGTTTTCTGTAAAACAGTGAACTGTAAGGCCACGACTAACGAAGTTTGCTAACAAAGACGAATATAAACTGAGGATTGATCATTCTCGGGGCGAACCGTTTCAATTTAACAACTAGAAATTATGAACGGCTGATGAGGCTACCCGGAAAAGACCACTTGTACCAAAACTTTAAAAATTGGGGCTTTACACCAAAAAATCACTAACGCTTGGGCAGTAAGAAAGAATAAGAAACTGAAACGCTGGAGGCTTCATGAGCTCCTCGATTTGCACTGGAAGATACATGCCCAGCAATGTTAAGATCCTCTTCACTAATTAAAAACTGGTCCGTGTTTTGAACAGATTGTTAAGTGGGCGGAAGATAAGTGCTGTATGGCAATTGGAAAAAGGGTTGGCAGAAGTCAGATCTCAGCCGCCTCTTATTCGGATAGTAAACTCAGATCTCCGCTGACCTGTGGTAATCACTACGGTCTGACGGAACATTTGCGAAAAAACTCATGAGAATTTTAAACAAAATGGTGAGAATATTACTGCAGACAGCTGTCCTTTAAAATCAGTATGAATAAGAGTTCATAAAGACTGCATTAAAAGCTTTTAAATAGAGAGTGAATATTATTACCGCATGATAATGTCAGATCGTACATTCAGAAATGGTGAAAAAGAAGTGATAAGGTCGGGTATGAAGTTTCGCTGTGTGATGCTTACTTCTCCATATTTATCCTATTAACTCTTATTACTTTGGGAACCTTAAGTTATTCAAGTTTTAGAAGAATAATTCTGAGCAATTTTTCGGCTTTTAGTTCCGAGGTCTTTTAAGTTACTGGAGTATAAAAGCTGATATCCCGTTGGCAATTTACTAAATCCTTTACCTCCTGCCCAGAAAATAAGTCTGAACAGGGATAAAATTATGATTTATAAAAGCAGAATACAAACACCAGCAATTCTTTGAAAACCAATCTAACAGATCTAACCGGTAAATAATAATAAGTGCGTCTTCTAAATTTAAAAAAAATTGCGAAATACAAATCTAAATTCAACATTGATTTTCGTAGATATTCCAAACAACAGATGTGCCACGTTACTGGTCGAGTATAAGACTGATAACCGTAGACATTAACTGCCACCTCATCAGACCATTTACATAAGATGCTGAAGAAAAAATGGGCTAAAACAAAACAAAAAGCAATGACAAACCTTGTCGCCAATATTATACTCCTTTGCTCCAACAATCAGTACCAACGAGGAAAACTTGAATAGAACAAATCCTAATAAAAACCAAGTGCAGCGCTGACACTCTCCCATTCTCGGCAAAGCAGAGTTCCAAACCAGCCGCAACAATCACTTTTATGATCGCTCAATCGCTGTGCTCCTTTTTCTCGCAATGACGTAACTGCACGATATCATCTCCGTTTGGCCCAGAAACACGCTGGCTCGCTTCCCTTTTTTTTTTCAGTCTGCATACTGCACTGCATATTTTTTGACTTTATTATTGTTGTTATAAACGTGTAAAAATGTTCAATCAACAGCTTTTTTGGCACTGTTGACAAATCGCTTATCAAAAAATTAAAAGCAAAAACTGGAAAACTAATCCCATTTACTATACCTACTAAGTTACGTCAATCACTTAACACACAACCAGTACAAGTAATCTCAGCGTAGCCAGCGTTAAAAAGCATGTCTCAAATGACCTCCAGCAGTGCCTAAACTGTTAAAGCTGGTATTTCACCACCCAACCTTTAACAAAAAACCCCAATAACCACAAATCCCAACCGACTCGAGCCACCAGTAGAGTATTAAAAATGAGATATCCGGCAGGTTTTGACTAAATCCTCTCTTAACTTCCTCAAACAAGTTTCCTGCCTAAAATCTCCTTATGAAAATTTAGACGTTAATGGTTAGACCATTCTTGACTGCTATTGGGGGTGTTTTAGCTAAAATAAATGACGATAACAAAAATTTTATTCAGCAGCACGTCCTTATCACAAATGAAAGGCTTAACAACATATACAAGAAATGAAAAAAAGGGAACAAGAAATGAATATTTTTGGTTTTTCTCGGGAAACAAAGGAAAGCAACTTCAAGACGTTGCATAGAACAATGTCAATTACAGTGCCATACCTTAGTGAATAATCTTTTCACGAGGTGGTCAAAGAACCAGTAATTCTGAGGTAAAGACATCACCTTCTTATGAGATCCAGATTTGTATGCCTGTAGCTGCTTTGGTCCCTCAAATTAAAACTTTCCAGACAAAAAAATTACATTGATAAAGTAAGATGTAATCCAGACTTCCTTTCAACCTAATGTAAACAGGTCAAGCGTAGAGAATAGAAAGCTACAAGCAACGTCTTTTGCCAAAAAAGTAATAAACTTTGAAAACCATATAGGAGTTTGAAAAAGCCTAATTTTAATATTTATCCAATTTACAGAAACTAACTTGAGGCAGTCGTCATGACGTTTATATTCTAAAACAGCGTTTACTGGCAGGTTTAAAACACGCCTTAAAGTATCTCTAATACGATTTGTAGCGCCCAAATTATCAGCTGTGCGATTCCATAACGATACAATATCCTCCTGAAGAAAAAAATTGACACAAACCGTAAAAACTTTCCTACTAGTCAGTTCAAAAAATCTTACAAACTGCAATTTTCAAATGAAATATCACGTCTATCTATCACTTATATATGACTGAGGTTACATAAGAATCATAATCAAACAAAACACACAGATGACAAAACAATAAAGAACAGAAAAGAAAACAAATTGTTATTCCACTAAATATTTGAAAGAACTAACTACCTGATTTCTAATAGAACAAACGGCACCACATATTTCCTCGCCTACTAAAAATTGTTCGCCAATCATAGCTAACAAAAGATTTTCCCAAATCCTTGAAGATAAACCTTTTTTCAACCGGAGAATCCACTTTCCGCCCTAAAACTTCAGAAAATTTAATTTTTTAGTGTTAAATTAAAAACTTCACAAAAGCGAAGAACCAACAAGCAAAAATACTGAAAAGATGTCTTTATCACAACCAGAGGTGGAAATAATTAGAACCTTGCAGTTGGCTGCATCCTCCCAAACGGGTTTTATACCTTCTTTGAACATATGAAAATCCGCTTTTTCAGTAACATCTAAACAAAGCAGTGAGGCTTCTTCTTACAAAAATATACTGTAAGCAAAAGAAGGACAAAGAAAGCTGAAAATTTATGAAATAAGAATGAGACGGATATTACACTAATAAATGTCATGAAGTTAAGCAACAAAGTATTTATTCTTTAACCTGAAGGTCGCTTGATATGACGGTAAGTATTCCAGAACTGTTCAACAGAATTGAAAGATGCAACAGGTTGCACATAAAGCGCATATTCTTCAGGATCAAATTTGCCCTGCGGTCGTACAAAATAGGAAAAAACATATGTAAACTCTAGTGGATGTTCATCGCTAAGACAAGGTGTGGTCCTCTGAAAGAAGAAATGTGAAAGAAACAATTTTTTTGTTAAATGAAGTAAATGCTAAACAAGTAAATGCTGGAATCACTAACTACAAACTGCTGCATACTATCATTTTCCGCTGTTTCTTGGCCCTCTGTCGGTGTAAAACTCATGCCAACAATCTAACACGACAGGTAAATATAATTTTGCCTAAAAAAAGAAAGTAAACAATCATATCATTTTTTGAAAGCAACAACAATTAATAATATGATTTACACCTGTGCCGTATTACAAATTCTTGGAAAACAATCAACTCTAAAAGTCTGTCAAGAAAAAACTAGACGAAATTCAATGCTGATAAGTAAATTTGAAAAAAAAAAAAAAAAAAAAAGAGTACGCTGTTAAAAAAATTAGACAAATTGGTATGAGCATGAATTCAAAAACCCTTTTGTAATTGGTAAATGGAAAGGAAATGTTTTTTACACTCAAGTTATTCATTAATTAATGATTCTTAAACAGTTTAGATATGGTAGTTAAAGAAAAATTTAAGTAAACTTTATCAAAATTACTTAGACAGATATAATGGAAGGAACAATTAAGATTCTGTCAACATAAAATACTGAAGGCTCCTCATCAGATAACCGGGATGACCAGAAACCATTGGGTTTAAACTGTATTGTGCAGAAGGGAAAAAAAGCCGTCTTCAGGCACGGGTGTAAAACAAGAAACCAGAACTGCTTCAAAAATGCCTTAAAACCTCGACGCCTTGGACAGTTGCCAATTGTAGCCTTCGGTCCTACCCAATATGCTTGTGCACCCCAAAATAAGGTCAGAATTCCCGTGTATGATTCAGATCTATTCTACATTGTTGATTCCAGTTGTAAACTAACTAGATAGCTGTTTTCATCTGAACACTAGCAACTTTTTTGCCACGGGCCTGATGAATATGCACACCTGAAATCGACAGCTGTAGGACCTGGAATTTCACATCTGAAGTTTTGGCATTTGCAGCATCAAAGTGGGTTGTACATGAGGATGACTGAAAAAATTTGCTATCATTTTGGTGTTATCGAGGTCCTACAATTTTATTTTCTAAATCCAAAATGGTTGTGTCTGTAACTGCCAGTCAGCTGCATAATAGATGTCCATGAAAAGAGAGAGGCAATCAGCAGTAGCTTCCGTGGCGCAATCGGTTAGCGCGTTCGGCTGTTA